GTGAATTTGTCCTTTAATGATTTTTTTTTCTAAAATAGTACCACAACTCTTTTTACAGAGCATTTATATTGTGTTAGGTGTTATAAGTTATCTGGGGATAATTTTAAATATAGAGAAGGGTGTATGTAATGCAAATACTCATGTATGGCCACACCACCCTGAACGTGCCCGATCTCATCTGATCTTTGAAGCTAAACAGGGTCAGGCCTGGTTAGTACTTGGATGGCAGACGTAATGGAAGTACTGCTCCATTTTATATAAAGGTCTTGAACATTTCTGAATTTTGGTATCCATGGAGATTCTGGGACCATTTGCACAATGATACCAGGGAACAGGACTTCACAAATAGTAAATGCTTAACTTTAAAAATTGAGGTTTACATGAAAAATAAATTGGAATTGGCACTTCCTAAAATATTTTTCAGTCTGCAAAAGTATACAATAGAGTATTTCTTTTAACTAAAACACTCCATTTATTAAAAAAAGTACGTGAAAATAAACCGTGTATTTAAGAAGCATTTTTTCACGTATGTGTCATACAGTTTACCTATTCCAGTAGAATGTGTCATAATCTGTTGGTGGGGTCAGGAGGATGTGTGAAAAGGGCTTCATTTTGGTAGAAGGCAAAACATCTTGCTAAATCTGGAATTGGGGCAGAGGTCTGTTCCCTATAAGTTGTCTTTCTGATTAGGGCTTCTTCTCTGCTGTTGAGTTCAATGTGGTGGTGGTGGTGGTGGTTGGCCTTGAACACTGGTAAGTATTAAAATCATATTCTCCTTGATTTATCATGCTATATGTTGAATCCAAGTCATTTTATACATTTGTTTTTTTCCTTACATTCTAAAATAGGCATATGCACACCTGCACCCATTGCTGGCAGGAGGTCTCTCAGCTTTTTACAGTGTACCTTTGTATACTTGGTAGTATACTACATTGTATTGATAATGGCACTCTTTCAGTCTGATAACTTGTGTGAACCTCAGTTCCTTTCCTGGTCTGTTCCTTAGTGACTGCTTCAGTGAACTGACTATTCATGACCGAGTCTCAGCATTGAGATCTGAGAGGGCCATGGGCCTAAAGTCATTCTCATACTGTTTTGTTTGAGTTTTAATAGGATTCAAAAGGAAAAACCTCCATAGGTTGGTGAGCTTAAAGTGGGAACATGTAAGCAAAAGAAGAAAAAGAACCACTACTTGATTATGTCAAGAATTTGATTGGGAGAATTAGTTTGAGCTAAGTGAAGGGTTAGGACCATAATTGCATATGCTTTCAACAATACATAAAAACTCAAACAGCTTACCAGAATTTGTGGGCATTTTTTACATTGTTCATATTTTTCTGCTCTAGAGTAATGCACTATAAATACAGTTATGTGTCACTTAACAATGAAGATATGTTTTGAGAAATGTATTGTTAGACAACTTTGTCATTGTGGAAGCATCATAGAATGTACTTACACAAATGTAGGTGGTGTGGCCTACTATATGCCTAAATTATGTAGCTCATTAGTCCTAGCTATAAATCTATCCAGCATGTTACTATACTGATACTGTGGACAGTTGTAATATAATACTAAATATTTGTGTATCTAAACATAGAATGAATATGGTAAAACTACTATGGCACAGGAATTCTTCCACTCCACTGTAATCTTACTGTTGTATATGTGGTTTTCTTTAACGGAAACATTGCTCTGCAGTTTGCTATAGTATCAGCCTTAGCAAAAACACGCCAAGACATGCCTAGAAAAACTCTCACATTATTTTCTCCTTTTAGTAATTCTCAAATTTTATTCCTGATAAACACTTGATAACTTAAAATTGTAATGGGAAGCACCCGGTCTATGGGAAAACTGCAATGTAAGAAAGTAGCCAATATTCAAACTTTTATTTCTCACAAATATGCTACTTATGCCAGGTATGCTGGCCTCATAAAACAAGATGAGAAGTGTTCTTTCTTCTCTTTTAAGATGATGTAAGATTAATATTGGTAGAGTGCTTGTTTAGAATTTAAGAAGCACTAGGTTTGATCTCCACTACTAAAGTAATAAATAAACAAACAAGACATCTTATTACCAGGATTCTGGGTGTTTTGGACTCCTTCTAGAGAGTCTCTCCAGGTTCTTGTTGGCCTGAACGAAGAATTGTACAGGAACATAAAAAAATACAGTGAGGTTTTACATCTATGAAAGCTTAGGAAAAAAATATGCTGCATATACTTGCAGGCCACTGAAAAAGAACTCACAGTGGCTGTGAGGTTAATGGCCACTGTCTTTTGTATCCCCTGTTCTGACATCAGACCTAGGCTGCTCTATTAAGAACCTGCTTGATTTCATGCCAGAACTAAAGATAGCAATTTTCAGTTGGTCCCAGGTACAGGGCTTGAAACTTTTTCTGTGCATGTGTCTTGGATTTCCGTGACTGACAGTTCAGGCCCACTTGCCCAGCTGGCTGGCCATGACCTAATCTCCTGCCTCAGTCTTGGTATTTGGTTTTTTAATCCCATCTTGTATATATTCTGCTATATAAATTTATTAAATCTTCATCAAGTAGAAAGATGACTAGCAACAAACCACTGTGGGGGACTGTCCCAGTTACTTCTCTCTCATTGCTGAGACAAAATACCCAATGCCCAAAGTTAAAGGAGGAAAGGTTTATTTAGCTCATAGTTTATAGAGGTTTCAGTCCATAATTGGCTGGCTCCAAGGCAGTATGGCATGGCAGATAGGCATTGCAGAGGAGAAACAGTTTATGGCAGGCAGTAGGTAGTAAAGCAAGCAATAGACAATACAAGCCTCTTTCTGTTACTTATATTGTATCCAGGCTACTGGGATTTGGGAGGTGCCAAACCAATCAGTGGACTGATTTAGTAAATCACCCACCCTTAATCCCAGCATCTTTAATCCTAGCATTGCACCACAAATGATCACACACTCCAGATTCAGCCGCCTCTGAAACAGCCCCACGTAAGACTGCATGAGGCTTTGGGGGACATCTAGACACAGCCCTAACAGTGACTGTTATTGATGATAAATGTTTAATTGCAGAAACAGCTGCTTAATTAAGGAAACTGCTATATGTTGGGCCCTGGCCACACAGTGCTGTCTCTGATGCTGACAGTCTGAAGAAACACACTTCTCTGACATTTTCCTGACTTTCCTAATATTCAGTCTGCTTATATATTTTTGTCTCTGACAGTCCACAGAGATTCTTGGTCATTTATACTGAGAAAAACTCTTTATCTTTTTCTCTTTTTTTCTTTTCTATATATGGATAGATAGAGATAAGTATAGCATGGTTATTTGAAGGATTGACATTTTATTTCAATTTGGCTTTGCGGGGTGGGAGATGTTTACATTATTTTACACTTTCAAGAAATTTCCTCTTTCTGGGTGTAATCAGTTTCTACTCTTCAGCATACAGAGCACTTTATGAATAATATTCAGTGCAGAAAGAAATCTAAAAATAATTTTGCAGGTAGGGTTTTGTTAGTCATATGTGGAATACTGGCGAGCAAAAAGAACAAAGGCACATCAGGGTAAAGGTAGTGGTGGGCGGGGCATTTCCTTTCATTTGCTCCACCAAAGAGCTTGCCTTTACAGAAGAAGGGAAAATACAAGAAACAGGAGCATCTGTGCTAGCTATTAAATGTTTCATTTCTCATCACTGTTAGTCACATTTGAATGGAACCATGGCAGTCCTTTTGATATACATCACTCAGCTCCCTTCCTTTATTTCTACAGGAAAAATCTTGAATTTTATATTTAAAAACACAGTGAGATGTTTCTGACATTCTGGGGTTCTTTTGGAATTCATTGTTGAAGCTCATTCCTTTTTGGCAAGATGATAAAGGGTATATAATAGTACATTTCATTTGTATACCTAATAGCACCTCAAATAGCCCTGATACATGTTATGTACACATAACTTTCAGCAGCTGTTTCTTACAGCTTACAGCATTTGGCTGAATGTTGTAATGAACAACTTGAAATGCCACGCATTATTACAATGGATTCTTATTGGGAAAAATCAGATCTTTAGAACTTCTTTTTAATACTTTTCCTTAAAATTTTTAAATGATGTATTTATCAGTACATAATTAAAATGACTGATCTTTAAATGTTTAAGTTACTCTTAGAAAATGGGGATGGATTTGGACTAATAATCTGGCAGATCTCTTTAAGTTCATGTTAAAGCATGAATTATCTACAGGGAAATCTATTTTGCAGCCATATTACTGAGTATATATGTGTATGTATAAATATATAACTGGTAATATTAAAAATTACTAAGATCTTGTCAATATAGCATTTATTTAATTTTCATACTCAATTCAGCATGAAAAATGAGTTTATGGTTTGTTTTCTTATTCTACTATACTTGGATTTTTGGTCTAGTGGGCATGAAATATTCCCTAGAAATATGTTGTCTAGGATTCCCAAAACAGAATAATGAAATAATTTTTTAAAAATTGTCTTTAATATACAAAATCCAGATTGTAGGCTTACATGATTTGGCCATGTGCTAAAAATTAAACAAATACCCAACAAAGCAAAGTTGGTCAAAACTGTAATTTATAAAGAATACCAGCCAATGTTGCTTACCCAAATACTGCTTTTTCCTTGCTTGACCTGGCCTTCATGTACTTCAGGAGAGAGGCTATCATGTTATCAAGCCCTTCTTCTTTTTTTTTTTTTTTAATACTAGGAATTGAATCCAGGGCCTTTATATTAAACTGTATCCCCAGCCCTTTTCTTATTTTGAGATAGGGTACCACTAAGTTGTTAAGTTACTCAGCGAGGCCCAAACTTGCAATACTCCTGACTCAGCCTCCTAGAGTACTGAGATTGAATTTATATGCTGCCACATATGGTTTTCATGCCTATATTTCACTTGAAAACATTTAATTTCTATCTCCTTTCTCAGATTGTAAACCTTTTGGAACCAATTTTGACTATTAAATATTATAATTTATATTGACTGATTAATTTTGATTTTGCAGGAACTGCTTAGGATGAATGTGATTTGGAGAAGATATATTTGCAATGTAAGGCTGAGGAAGGTGCTACACAGATGTCAGAGCGGTAACCACCCTGTGGCACCCCTGGGATCAAGGATTTTAACTGACCCAGCCAAAGTTTTTGAACACAACATGTGGTAAGTTTCCTTTTCAGGTCTGATTTTACATAAGTTTATTAAATATTACCAGCGGTATTATTTTCATTTTGTACCATATTTTTATCTACATAAAAAACAGATAGTTTGCCTTTTTTTAAAGAAAACTTTTATGGAGATTGGTGAAAGATAAGGTTGGATTGATATAGGTCAGGTGTGGGAGTGGGAACAAAGTTGTGCGTGGTCCTGAATTCATAGTACCAGGCTCTTCAGAGCCCTTGTGGAAAATAACATTACAAATAGTCCAGTAAGTGTTTGGTGACAGTATACTATGGACAGGTCGGCGGGGATAACTAGAAACAAGAGCAGGCCAGTGAGAGGTTATGAACAAAGAATAAATAGAACTTGCTGCTTGTGTAGAAGAAAAGAATTTGACTTTGAAGTTTTGAACTGAGGTTACTGATAGAAAAAGAAAAATCAAGAGGTATTTTTTTTAATTTTGGAAGAAAGATGATGGATTTAGTTGTAGACATTTTGAATAGGCTTTGAGAGCAAGACATTTGGGTTAAAATGTCCAGGAGACAGATAATGCAAGGTGTCAGAGCTAAAGAAGTAAAATTTGATGTGATATCTACAGCCCAAATTTTTATCAAACTAGCCTTTGGAACAGGGTTGGGAAAGTGATGTTTTGACTTTTTATTGCAACAGGATACCATTTTTAAAAGAAAATATATTGATCTTTTATTAATTAGTCCTATACTGTACAGCAACTAACCACTTGTGGTTTGGGGACACTTAAAGTGTGGTTAGTCTAAATGAAGAGGTGCCATAAGATTTTGAAGATAGTACAAAAAAAATAAGATAAAATATTTCATTAATTCTTGTATTGAGTTTCATCTTGAAATGAGTGAAATTTTGAATTATTGAGCTAAATAAAATACATTAACAATGATGAATGTAACTGTACTGTATACCTAAAATGTACCAATAAACTCAATGAGAAAAAAAAAAACATTAAAATGAATTTTACCTCGTCACTGCGGCTACTAGAAAAGTTTTAATTACTTATTTGAAAATGGATACATATTGAGGATATACTCTTAAGTGAAATAAATAAGTCACATGTGTAAATACCGAATAGTTTCTCTGGTGTGAATAAACTGTAATAGTACATAAGATCCTAATGAGATAACTGACATTGTGAAGTGGAAAGAAAAGGTCTAAAGGGTATGAAAGTGGGAAGGGAAGGGGAAAAAAATGAGAAAATGAAAAAATGGAAATAAAGTGTTTGTAAATGGGGAGGGGAGGAGGGGGTGAAGGAAGGGCAGGGATAAGGGGAAAAAATGAGAACCAAGACCACCTGTCATGTAAAGGTACAAGATCCCAATAATGAATGTAACTGTACTGTATACCTAAAATGTACCAATAAACTCAATAAAAGAAAAAATAAGTAAATTACTTACATGTGTGGCTCATGTTATACTTTTTTGAAAAAAAAAAAAAGTAAGCCATTTTGACTACAGTCACCAATTTGGACAGTTACTGTAGCCTGTGAGAGAAAACAGGTTCTTTGCCAGGCAATGAAATCTCCAGAGAAACTTCTGGTCCTGGGCAAGCTCCTCATTTTTAATTCATTAACCCTAGTGATTTAGCTGCATTCTTATTCCATCTGCTCTCACTGCTCTTTTGCCTAAGATTCTTGCTTATTGATAGAAGTGCCAGCTTGTCATAGACTCTCAGGAAAGCAAGGGCTCTTCTGTCCACTGCTCCTCAAACACCCGAAGTAGCCTTGGCAGGATGCAGGGGAATCCTGTGGGGAATTACTGTTCACTAGCTCTAGAGATATGGCCCAGGGAGTTTTTAATTTGAAAAGCTTTGGGTAATTCTCTTGAGCAGCCAGGTTTAGGAACTCTTGATATAATCCAGTGGATTTCAGACTTTGCTTTAACAGCAGAACTTTTTTCAGGTGAGGTTTTAACATGAGATCTCAATATTTAAAAGGTAAGAGCAAATCTTTTCTGAATCATGGGAGATGTAGAGGCCTGGAACATCAATAGCTCTACTTCCTTTACCTCTCCCTTGTCTCCTCACTTACTCCAGTAGCCCAGAGGACCTTTAGGACCCTGCTCATCACAGGTTGAAAAACCTTGGTCTATCTAGACAGCTGTCTATCATCCTACGTTGCCTGCTCCCCAAGGGGTTTTCCAGCCTGCATTGGGACCACTGGATTACCTTTAGTGACCTCTCTCCCTGGGAACACGTCTGCTGTAATAATAACAATAAAAATAGTTCCCTCCAAGGGAAAATCAAAATGGTTACTTCACATCATTTGCTCATACTTCCTGATTTTTTTCCTTTTATCTCTCCCTTCTTTTTTTTTCTTAAAGAGAAAATTTGTTACAGAGATTTAGAAGTTCTCTCCTTCCTTCAAGTCCAAAGTTCTAAAAGTACTCATTTTCTTCCTTTTCTTTATACTTAAGAATAATATTCCCTCTCTTGCTGAAATGGGTTTTTAAAAAGATATCTGTAGAGAAGTATAGAACAGTTTTTTTCTCAGGGGTGTTCCTGAGAATTATCTGTAGTACACTAGACATGGTGGCACACACCTATAATCCCAGCACTCTGGGAAGCTGAGGTGGGAGGGTCACAAGTTCCAGCCTAGCTTGATCAATTTAGTGAGACTCTGTCTCAAAATAAAAAATAATTTAAAAGGGCTGGGGATGTAGCTGAGAGCAGAGACTCTGGTTCAATCCCCATTATTGCAAAAGAAAAGTTGTCTACAGTTTATGTTTCCTTTTAGCCTCTACTTTGTAAGGATATTTTATTCTATATAGGACCTCATTAAAAATTTTTTTAAGGGGCTTTTTTTTTTGACTTTTCTTTTTTGGTACCGAGAATCGAACCCAGGGCCTCGCGCTTGCCAAGCAGGCGCTGCGCCGCTGAGCTACATCCCCGGCCCTAAAATTTTTAAATATTCCTTTTATTCAGTTTCTAATACTGTTCTGAAAAGATTTCCCTTTCATATTCTGGATATGTATATTACTTACCAGCACTTAACATCTACCTAGACTCTTATTTTTTAATAACTTTAGTTAAGTGAAATTCATAACGTTAACCATTTTAAAGTGAACAATTCCATAGCATTAACTACATTTAGTTTTATACATCCAGCACAGCACCTCTAATTTACAAAACATTTCCATCACTCCAAGGTGAAATCTCTAGCCATCGTGGCACACTGCTGTCATCCCAGCATTCAGGGGGCTGAGGCAGGAGAATCTCTGTGAGTTTGAGGCCAGCCTGGGCTACACAGTGAGCTCAAGGCCAGCTTGAACTCCATAGCAAGATCCTGTCTCAACAAACAAACAAACTGAACAAAGAAAGTGAAAATGCTTATTGATGAAGTCCCCCCCAACCTCTAGCAACCACTAATCTATGTTCTGTCTCTGTGGATTTCACTATTCTGGATATATATTTTATATAAATGGAATCACACAATGTTTGACCTTTTGTGTCTAGCTTATTTCATGTAGTGTCATATTTCATCCACCTTGTAGTGTTTATTATACTTTATTTAATCTGGCTGAATGATATTTCATTGTTTATATTCACCACGGTTGGAAGGCATTTGGGCTCTTCCCACCTTTTGGCCCCTGTGAACAGTGCTGTGAACTTGTTTAAGTCTCTTATTTTCACTTCTTGGGGGCATATAGCTAGGAGTAAAATTTTGGAGTAATACAGCAATTCTGTATTTTTCTACAGCAGTTTTCCAGAACTTTTTTCCACAGCAGTTGAGCTATTTTATATTCTGCCTAGTCTTTTAAATCATACTTACTACAAATCATACTTACTTTAATCAATTTTAGGGAGTATTGACCAGAAAAGATACTCAAAATACACTTTTTTTGAGACAGGGTTTTGCTATGTAGTTCGATCCTTGCACTCACTGTGTAGCCCAGGCTGGTCTTGAACTTGCAGCAGTCCTGCTGCCTCAGACTCCCCAGTTCTGGGATTACAGGCATGCACCACCATACCCGGCTTCAAAATGCCTTTTGAGGCATAACCCAGATGTCTTTGTTGAGCAGCTTATATGGTTACTTGGAAAAATCGTTTCTCGGTGTGCTTGGTTTAATTGACAGTAAGTACTGCTGACTTTACAGAACAGTAATGTATACACATATATAAAACAGGAATGGGCCAGGGATTTAGCTCAGTGGTTCTGGTGCCTCTCTTGCAAGCACAAGGACCTGACTTCGATCCCTGGTACCATAAATAAATGAATGAATGAATGAATGAATGAAATTTAAAAAACAGGAACAAAACTTTCCTATACAGTGTTTACCATGTGATATGGGCACCCATGTTTTCCATTTGTTCTATTCTTTTCCTTTCTCTTTTTCAGTGTTGTTTAGAATAGCTAATTTGATTTCATGACTCACTAAAGGGATATATGACCTTTAGTTAAAAAAACAAAACAAAACAAAAATAAAACACTGAGCTAAGCCCTTTTCTGAAAACCCAAGGTAAGACCTGGATGTTGCCACATGACTTCTATTTTATAAGATACTTAAATAATAGTTTCCAGAATCATAATAGGGGTCCAGTGCCAAGATTTTTATTCTGTTTCCTTTTATAATCATTGTATTTATCATGTATCCCTCTTCCCATGTACTTAGTGCTTTAATATAATAAAGAATTTAATCAATAAATATTCTCTTTGGCTTCCTCCATTGTGATATTTGTCATGAGAGGCATCAGAGTGTACGTGTTGAGAGCAGATTTGGGAAGTTACTTAATCCCTCTGGCAGTTTTCTCATCTGTAATATAGGATAATAGTAAAAATTCCACCTTCATCAGATAAATTGAGCATTAAGTGATCACAATGTAAAGTGTCTATACCTAGTAAATAAACAACATATAGTACTATATAAGAATTAGCTATCTTGTTTTTACTGCTTTTCATTGTGTACTTTATTTATATCTGTGTTGTCTTCATTGTTAGTCTTACTCTACAGAGAACTTATGTCTTTCATTGCTATGTT